CAATAATTAACACTTTTCTCACCGACACAACACACAGAACTGGCTTCCACATACAGTATATTAGCCAGTAGTGCTGTTCTCAGGGTCATGGAAGAGCGCAGGCTGCCCACAGTCTCAAAGGACTGGGGGGAGGTGCAGTAGTGGGAGTAGGTGTGTGATGGGTCTGGCTGGGTTGGTCTGCCTCTTTCCAACTGGGGCCTCAGCTGGCCCTCCAGAGCGTGGTTTCTACCCATGCATAATACATCACCTTGGTCCCATCTGCCCTCACCAGCCTTCCTCTGACACCAAGAGGCCTGGCTAATAGGCCCTGCTCCAGTGAGGGCCAGCCAGATATGCTTGCTACTATGGTGATGGCTTATTGCAGGCCAGCTCAATCCCGGAGTGTGACAAATGAGAATGGAAATTGGGCAATTTGCTTCAAAGGGAGTTTTGTCTTCATCTGCTGTTGGAAAAAGCCAGAGAGTTTCCTGGGTTTCACTCTGTTTATTTACTACAGTATGTTCAAAATACTACAATTAGCTTACCCACTCGACGTTGGCATGTTGTTTGAATTGGAAAATGATTCTTTCATATCAAAGGCCCCAAGCTTGAACTTGAGGTCATTTGTACTGTATAGAAGTCTGTCATTTTCACACATTCAGTCACTTTGTTGTTTCTGTTTGTCTTTCCTCAAAGTCATAACTGCCAGATCTGGTTGAATGTTATTTGAAGTGATGGCAGTTACACAGACAAGGTCAAACCCCTGTCATTCTTAATGCCGCCATGGTCAACAGTGCTACAAGTAATGAAATTCCCAGGGAAATCTCATCCCTTCAGTATCCAGAAGGAAAATATAAAATGGTGTATTCTGCTATTCATCTGCTGCTTGCAATCAGATTTTTTATTTTTGGCCTGTGCAAAAATTGAATTGTTGGCTTGAGATGCCTATTACCAGTGGACTTGTATGTTGAGCAGATTGAAAATGATGGCTTATCTTGTAAGGAATAAATTGAAAACCATTTCATTATAGAAATACAGCTCTGAATGTTGCCTGCAGAGAAAAGAGCTCCGTCATAAACAGTAATGATATCGAAATAGTCACGAGTCCATAGGAAATAAAATAATGAAAGAAACTGTATTTGCCTCTTAAAAAAAAAACAGTTTGGAGAAGATGGAATCAAACTGAGCCCACTGCCAATGAACAGCTGGACAAAGAGAGGAACAGCAAAGGTGAGCTCTGGTCACAGGCCACTCACTGCCTGTACTTAACCCTTGTACTCTGTTAATGTGTCAGGGCCATGTTTTGTAAAGTGTTCAGACTCTTAATTCAGTACTTTATAGAAGCGTCTTTGGCAACAACTGCTAATTTTAGTCTTCCTGGATACAAGCACTGAACCTGGATTTGGAAAGTTTATTCCTTTCATCATCTTCTATCAGATTTCATGGGAAGCATTTGAACTGCTTGAAAATGCTGCTTGATTCACTGCAAGCAGGCTGTCATATGCATTTTA